TATTTCTGCCTTTGTCTCTTTAGAACTAAGAGTTAGTCACCATCTTTTGAGGGTTCAGGAAAGGAGTTTTGGCGAGGCACCCTTGTTATTCCAGAAAGCTGGTCCCACCCAGTGTGCAATGCCCAATGAAAACACACACCTAGGTGTAGATTACAAAAGACTTTATTCTACACATAAGGGATGTGCAAAGATTACACCTTAAACCAGTGGTTCTCAACCTGTGGTCTGCAAAACCCGGGGGGGGCTGTGATGTCATCACTGGGGGTTCTGTGAAGTTATGCTAAAGTTATGACCTAAAATCTGCATACCCCACCTAGGACATGGTAGGATTAACTCACAAAGGCCAAAGGGCACACCCAAACTCAGGTCAGAATACATGACACAGGAAATAGCCTCAAAACAGGAACAGGAAATAACTCCAAACAAAAGGCTCCAGAGAGTATAAAAATCCACTTCCTACATGTGCTCAGCCCTTTTTTGCCACTTCTCTTGCTGCCAGAACTATCTTCCTGTCTGGTTCTCCTCTCCAATAAACTACAATCTTCTTCTCAAAGCAGTTGCCACATTTATTCCCAGCTTGGATGAACCACGATGAAGACTTTTCTTTCAATACAGCCTTTGTGATTAATTTATGGTTCAGACGGGGGGGGCTGTTAGCCCAGAAAATGAGCCTAAACAATAAAACATTATGGTGCAAACAGACCCGAGACCCAAGCTTCTATTGTTGCCTCAGCTTCTGCCCACCCAGCAGTTCAAAAGCATGCAAACGTGAGTAGATAAATAGGTACCCCTTTGGTGAGAAAATAATAGGGTTCCATGCACCTCAGCATATAATCATGATAGTCGCATAACCACGAAAGCGTCTTCAGATGACGCCGGCTCCCTCAGCTAAGAAAGAGAGAGATGAGCACCATCCCCTAAAGTCAGACACATCCGGACAGAGGAAACCTTTAACCCTTTTTATGCACCATGTATTTGACTAAGTCCTTTATCCTGAGAATTAATGGATCTTGGTGTAACTCAGCCTCATTGGTTACCTCAGCCATGTAGACTATTCCGGAGCATCTCCAGAATGGTGATTGCCTTCAGAAATGGAAGAATTCCCCACTTCACTTACAAAACTATACAAAATGTATATGCTGCTATTATATCTGACAGAGAATCAATATTATCTGAGCGTGATTCTCCTCTTTTTGATATGCAGCTTTTTGCAGTTTCCTCTTTTCTTATTATTATTAATTTTTTTTTACATTTTCAGGCTAAGTGGAGCAAAAGAGTAAGATAAGAGAAAGTAAACTCTTTGTTTTGTTGAGATAAACTTGGGAGTTCAATATGTCCATCCAGTTTTTCTGGCAACAGAAAAAAAAAAAGTAATTTGCCATTTCTGGGATTTTTTTAAAGTTCTCAGCTCAGTATAACTTTATAACTCACAAACAGATCAGGGCATCCATTGGACAAGTGTAATTTACTTATAATGCATAACCATGTTTACTTATAATGTTTTTTCTCTTCCTCTTCAAATCATATTCCTTATATCTCCCTCACTAGAAATCTTCAGGAAAAATACCTGGGATTAAAACATATTAATTCCATTTAATTTTATAAACCAGTTTTAGTTCATCCTCTGATTTTGCTCACATCCTATTTATTTTGGGGAGTGCAGAATATTCAGAACTATAGACAGCTCTTAACCAAGTGTCGCATTTTGCAATCTTTCCATATTAAATTAATTCACATTTCTGGAGTACAACTCCTGCCACATTATATAATGTCTGATTGTGGTCCTTACCTTGAAAAGCCTGGCTCACTCCTATTTTACTGACTAAAGCAAACTTTCCAACTGAATTACAATTGGTTATTTATGCTGATTTTTGCCTTTTTGTCACATGTGACTGGAAGAGAGAGAGAGAGGAAAGAAAGAAAGAAAGAAAGAAAGAAAGAAAGGAAGGAAGGAAGGAAGGAAGGAAGGAAGGAAGGAAGGAAGGAAGGAAGAAGGAGGGAGGGAGGGAAGGAAGAAAGGAAGGAAGAGAAAGATGATAGATAGATAGATAAATAGATAGATAGATAGATAGATAGATAGATAGATAGATAGATAGGCAGGCAGGCAGACAGACAGACATTCATTTACTTAATTGTTAAATAAATCAATAGTTTGACATTTCAATATTTCATTCATATTTTAAGTATTTAAACATAGTAATGTATTGGGTTTATTTAGAGCAGGAGTGTCAAACTGCCAGCCCATGGGCTGGTTTCATCATACCGAAGCCACGCCCATTCCATTGCCAGCAATACAAAAAAAAGTCACAATACATCGCGACACATCATGTGACGTGGCGAGTTTGACACCCGTGATTTAGAGTATACATATCTCAGGTTGAACTGTGAAGTTCTTGGTGCTCTCTGAGTTTGGTTTTTTGCTTGCAGGCATTTCATCACCTGTCTAGATAACATCATCAGGGAGCAAACCTCAAACTCACTAGCACTGACTGTAGGAGCCCAAGACACTGAGGATGTTACTTTTGTCAGACCATGAAACATCTGTAAGCAAACAACCACGCTCGGAGAGCACCAAGAACTCCAGAGTGTATTTTAGTTTGATCCACCTTAATTCTGATAATAACCACAAACGTATTTATGTATATTAACTTAAGCCTTTTAAAAAAAAAAAAAGTAATAAAAGTAATTGAAACCCAAGTTAGATGCACCATCTACCATGCCATCTGAATTTTGTTATCTGAGAAGTTTACCCCTAGACTGCATTCAATCTGCTCAACTCCACACTCCTCCGTCCCATAATGTTCTCTTGTCAAATGACTCCAGGTCAATGTTCTGTGACAGCCATCACTCCAACTGGCCTTTAAAGTTCTTTATAGCTTCTCTCATCTTTCCCCAAATTGCTCATCCCAAGCATGGAAACCTCCTCCCCAGATCCGAACATTACGGGACTTGAAAAATGGAGGGGAGGGATTGTCACCCCACCTGTGCTTCCCACTTATGATGCTGGTGCGCGGAAAAGGAAGCCGAGTGACAGAAAAGGGCCAGCATTGCGAATTCCAAGCCAAGCGAGTTTGCTGAGCATTAAAGAAAATAAATGCATTAATTAAAGGTCCCTCCTCCAAGTTTTCTGCTAGACAGGCTGCCGACTTGCAAAGAAGTGGAAGTAAATAAATCACAAATGACAATGATCAATGATCAGCATGCAATGTGTCAAGGGGGGGGGGGAAGTCTGCCTACCTTGAATAGTTGAAATGCACCCAACTTTAGTGACAGGGAAAAGCTGGCCAGGAAAAAAAAAAAAAAACAACTGCAGTAAACCAGGAAGAACACAATTTTGATAGGGAACAGAAATAGTGGTTTGTTTTTCCTTGTTTTTGCCCAGCTCCAGGGATCTGAGACCATAGGAGAGGTGATAGAAGCAAGAGGAAAAAGAATGAATACACCTGATGGTCCCATGACACTAAGAATGTGACGGGTATATTTGTGTTGGACATCATTACACCAGTCCTAAGTGGTGTCTCTCTATGGACAAAAGTCCCATATATTCTTTCAAACTATAATGTGTAAGTTGCAGGTTGGTGTATTCAGGAAGTTTACTGTGTAACCAACTTTTGATCTGTACATTAATCCAGGAAGTGCAAAATAGGTCACTTTGTACTGTAATTTTATAGGAATTAAATTTGTCAAGCACTCTGCATACAGAGCAGTAGAAAGACTTTATGTTGATTGTGGAGGATTATATGTTTTTACACTCCATGTGTATGTGTGTTAAATTACATGCAAAACCTCTTAAAATCTTTGGAGGAAGAAGCATCTGGACAGATTATGTACATCTGCATGTATCTACTGTGTGTGTGTGTGTGTGTGTGTGTGTGTGTGTGTGTGTGTGTGCATAAATAAAGAACTACCATACGTTTTTCCTTTTTTCCCCTAAACCAGCAAAAAATAATCACATGATACCTTTGTAATTGCCCATCAAAATAGTTAACATCATGCATAAAGCTCTTGGAATTTCAAAATGTCTTTTAAAATCATCTGTCTGTTGTCCTTTGTGCTATGATGGGATTGATTTGGTTTTGTTGTGTCATAGTGCACAAAATGTGCTTCGCTTTATGATTAAGCAGAGTGCAAAAATATGAACGACTGTGGTTTATTCAACAAAATATACTTAAGTAATGCTTAGGGGAAGGAGTGGCAGAAGAGAAGAGAAGAGAAGAGAAGAGAAGAGAAGAGAAGAGAAGAGAAGAGAAGAGAAGAGAAAAGAAGAGAAGAGAATAATGGAATGAAGAAGAGAAGAGAAGAGAAGAGAAGAGAATAATGGAATGAAGACTAGAATAGAATAGAATAGAATAGAATAGAATAGAATAGAACAGAACAGAACAGAACAGAACAGAACAGAATAGAATAGAATAGAATAGAATTATGGGAGAGAAGAGAAGAGAAGAGAAGAGAAGAGAAGAGAAGAGAAGAGAAGAGAAGAGAAGAATAGAATAGAATAGAATAGAATAGAATAGAATAGAATAGAATAGAATAGAATAGAATAGAATAGAATTATGGGAGAGAAGAGAAGAGAAGAGAAGAGAAGAGAAGAGAAGAGAAGAGAAGAGAAGAGAAGAGAAGAGAAGAGAAGAGAAGAGAAGAGAATATTGGAATGAAGAATAGAATAGAATAGAATAGAATAGAATAGAATAGAATAGAATAGAATAGAATAGAACTGGAAGGGACCTTGGAGGTCTTCTAGTCCAACTCCCTGCTCAAGCAGGAGAACCTATACCATCTCAGAACTTGGGGTGGAGTCAAAAAAGGAATCAGCCTAGACTCTCTATGTAGCCATAAATGGACTAAGTCCACCACCACCACCCGATTTATCTAACCATGTCCTGATCATTAGTTGAGAAGATTCTTGTGCCTAGGCTTTTAGCAATAAATCAGTTTAATTGGAACTTCACATGTGGTCCTGCTCTTTTGCACCTGACATGAAATGTAATTATCCTTCTTACCTTTCCCTTTGTCTCACCCTGCTTTGTAACCGCTCCTACCATCGGTAATAATCTTAATCTTCCTCTTAGGCAGTTCTTGCATGGCTAGCAAATACGGGAAGCGCCTTTGAATTCTTAAAGTACCTAGTAGAAGGAAAAGTGGTTGTCAATGTTAGTATATCACAATAGTAATAACACCGCCACCCACTGGCAGATCAGAGGAGGGGGAAAAACAAAGGAACAACTATTAGGGCTCCAACTCTTCACATCAGTCATTCAGATGTACAAATTATTATCCCCTGAAGGATCCCAAAATCTCCTTCCTTGGGTCGACTGGGAGAAAAATGCCATTAGTAGTGAAAAATAACATCTTTTCAACCTGACAGCTCTCCATTTCACACACCGAGGAGTGCACTTCCAGGGAGCAGAAATGCGTCTGGAGGAGCTGGCTGGCTATCAGAGGTCAGGGTTAATTGGTGCATCTCAAAAATAGACAGTAAATATAGCCATATATTAGCCAGGGGGCTTATTTATGTCTATCTCCGAATGCTGTCCTTGCAGGCAGGATATACTTCATCATGGAAGGCAAAGGGAGTGGAAAACATGGGGGGTTGGAAATGGCAGAGCTTTCAAGATTCATTTTTACCCCAAACCCCTCTCTCTGCCCAGCAAAACCCGGCATCGGAGTCCATTGAAGTATAGTTGCAATTTTCTCGGCACGGCATCTATCACGAGATGTTGACAAGGCTGCTCTTAAAGAGAGACGTCCGTTGGTCTTGAGTTGTTTAGAAAGAATCAAAGGCATTGTTTCTTCTAATGTTGCAACAGGATGGGGAATCGTAGAATCGTAGAGTTGGAAGGAGCCCTGGAGTCCTCACTCAGTGTAAGCATCAAATTAAAGTTTCTCTGACGGATGGCCATCCAGCCCGCCTGAACACATGTAGGGAAGGGGAGCCAACCACGTCTCTGCGTAATTAGCTCCTCCGCTGTTGAACTTCTCCGACTACCAGGAAGTTTCTCTAACTTTCAGTCCAAAGCTCACCTTCAAGCTATTGTTCCATGTCCTGCATTGGAACACAGGAGAAAGAGGCTTGGTCTGTCAGATGACTTTCCAGGTATTTGAAGAGGACAGTCATACCTGTTCTCAATCTTCTCTTCCCAGGGTGAAATATTCCTACTTTCTTCTGTGTCTCATCACAGAACTTAGTTTATAACCCCAGAGATAGATAGATAGATAGATAGATAGATAGATAGATAGATAGATAGATAGATAGATAGATAGGTAGGTAGGTAGGTAGGTAGGTAGGTAGGTAGGTAGGTAGGTAGGTAGGTAGGTAGGTAGGTAAGTAGGTAGATAGATAGATAGATAGATAGATAGATAGATAGATAGATAGATAGATAGATAGATAGATAGATAGATAGATACCATATATGCCAGCGTATAAGGCGACTTCCGCAAGCATTAAAATCGGTGCCAAAGATGGGGGTCATCTTATACGCCGAGTCGTCTTATACGCCGGAAATACTGGCAGTTTCTGGCGTATAAGATGACATTCTAGGAATGCGACTTGGCGCCAAAGACAGGGGTCGTCTTATACGCTGGGTCGCCTTGTACGCCGGCATATACGGGAGAGAGAGAGAGGCAGAGAGAAAGAGAGGGAGAGAGAGGGAGAGACAGAGACAGAGAGAAAGAGAGAGGCAGAGAGACAGAGAGACAGAGAGGGGGAGAGGGAGAGGGGGGGAAAGAGGGAGAGTTATGCCAATTTGGGGAAGGGGGCTCACCATTTCTTCTGAGTATCCTATAACGGAAAAGCTACCCAATTGATTTTAGCAAGTATACTGCTAGAACTCAGCTACTCAGTGTGAGATATCTGGGGGAAAGAGGTGGCAATTTAGCAGCATCTTTCTCTCCCTCTCTCCCTCCCTCCCTCCCTCCCTCTCTCTCTCTCTCTCTCTCTCTCTCTCTCTCTCTCTCTCTCTCTCTCTCTCTCCAGTTTCCTGTTCCTTCTTTTGCTGAATTCTCTTCAGCTGGGTGAAATAAATCTGCTGTTCCTCCTAGCTTCCCCAGGAAGTCAACAATACTAAAAAAATAATTAATAGTAATAACAGAAAAGTGGCCTGTTTAGCGGGAAATAAATGTCTGAACACCGCCGAGTGGCCTAAAGATAATATAAATGATCAATCAGCATGCTAAACTTCACATGCCCCAGCCAAAGCAGTCCTTAAGGGTGACAAATAGATTAAAACAGATTAAGAGGGGAAATGACAAGAAGGTAGCAGGCTGATTCCCTTAGCTTGCGCTAGACTTGATGGTAAGCCAAAGGGTCATATTCGAGCATTCAATCTAGCAGTAAGGAGGATATTTTCACCAGACATTTGCACTCTCAGCTGTACACCGTTTTTGCCAGAACGATCTTAGTTTAGGTGCTAATAAACCCACTCCGCTAATAGAAGAGAATACAGGTTGTCCCCGGCTTACGACCGCAATTGACCCCAAAATTTCTGTTGCTAAGTGAGACATTGGTTAAGTGAGTTCTGTGAAGGGATCAGGTGACCCAGGGACACTGTAAATGCAACCGTCATAAACATGAGTCAATTGCCAGGTGGTGAAATTTTGATGAGGTGACCGTGAGGATGCGGCAATGGTCATAAGTGTGAAAAACGGTCATAAGTCACTTGATTCAGTGACCTCAGAGGAGAGGAGAGGAAAGGGAAAGGGAAAGGGAAAGAGAAAGGGAAAGGGAAAGGGAAAGGGAAGGAGAGGAGAGGAAAAGGGAAAGGGAAAGGGAAGGAGAGGGGAGGAGAGGAGACCAGATAAGACTTGAAGGTCTTCTAATCCAGTCCTCTGCTCAAGCGGGAGACCCTATACCTTTTCAGACAAGTGGCTATTCAGTCTCTTCTTGAACACCTCCAGGGATGGAGCACCCACAACTTTTGAAGGCAAGCCCTTCCACTGATCATTTGTTCTAACTGTCAGGAAGTTTCTCCTTAGTTCTAGGTAGCTTCTCTCCTTGATAAGTTTCCATCCGTTGCTTCTTGTCCTGCCTTCAGGCGCTTTGGAGAATAGCATGTTAAATGCATTTTAAAGTTGGGGAAATCATGGGATTTATTTTTTTTAGGAATTCTGCATTTTTAGATATTTTGGGTGACCTTCCCTGTTATGGCCCTATTAGGATTTCTCCAATATGCCCATTGCTATTGGTAATTATTTCACACTTTGGGGAAGGAGTTCAGTCTGCAATTTCTGAATGTTTCAGGAAACCTGGAATACCACCAAAGAAAGAGGATATGAATGCTTGGAAAGTTTATCTTGGAGATGGGTGCGAAATACATGTCTCGATTATTTATTACTAAAGAATCTCTTCTCCAGTCTGTTCCCTTTCCATGCAAATCAGAGTCAATGTTGAATGATGGTCTTCGCGAACCATGAGAAGCGGGAGCATCTGCCTTGAGTTTGGAAAGGCTCCATCTTTTGTTTCCTTAGCTCATTCAGGTGGCATCAACCCAGCAGACTTCTGTGTACTACATTAGTAAATGCTTTCTTGATCAGGACGTACAGTGCAAGTCATTACATACATCAAGCATGATGACAGCGGAAGCAAGACTTTGGCTCTCTATTCTGCTCAGTGGACCATGCTTGAACAGTTGTTACAGGTTTCAGAATCCATTTATGATTGCCATTAAAGAAGGAAGCTGTATGGGAATTGAGGTAGACCATCTCATTTGGTAGAGGGAGGGAAGGAGGGAAGGAGAGAAGGAGGGAAGAAAGAAAGAAGGGAGGTAGGGGAAAGAAGAAAGAAAGGAAGAGGAGGAGGAGGAGGAGGAGGGAGGGAAGAAGGAAAGAAGGAAAGGAGGGAAGAAAGAAAGAAGCGAGGGAGGGGAAAGAAGGAAGGAAGAGGAGGAGGAGGGAGGGAAGGAAAGGAGGGAAGAAAGGAGGGAGGGAAGGAAGGAAGAAAGGAGGGAGGGAGGGAGGGAAGAAGGAAAGGAGGGAGGGGAAAGAAGGAACGAAAGAAGAAAGAGGAGGAGGAGGAAGGAGGGAAGAAGGGAGGGAGGGAAGGAAGGAAAGAAGGAAAGAAGGGAAGGATGGAAGGAAGGGAGGGAGGGAGGGAGGGAGGAGAAGGAAGGAAGGAAGGCAAGAGGGAAGGAGATTTTTTTAAAAAAAAAAAAAAAAAGATAAGGTAGAATTCATCTCTTGACCCATTCAATCTCAAAATTAATAATTGAAACCTGGTTGCCCTCCAAATGTTTCCATTATTTTTGCCCCCTGAACAGTTCAGTCCACTTCTGAGCCTGCCAGTGTCAGTACAACTTGGTTCTCTTTTATTCTCACTAGCCCACTTCCACTTGCCCCGACGGGGTGAAATGAATTTATGGGTAACGTCCACTGAAACGTTTTGCCTGGACATAATCAGGGACATCCCACGGATTACAGCAGGCAGTCAGGTTAAATAGAAGGCCGGGCGAGAAGGAAGGAGGCAGTGGGGGCAGAGGGGGGGTAATCAGAGTGGGCTGCTGAAAGAAATAAAGCTGGCACGAAGAAGAAGAAGCCCCAAACACATCGCCTTCCGGAAGTGAAATCGATGACTTCCTGCCTTAAACCCAAGCCAACTTGGTGACTTTTGGCCAGCCACTCTGTTTCAGCCCAAGGAAGAAGGAAATGGCAAACCATTCCTGATAAACCTGGCCAGGAAAACTGCCGGGACTTGTCCAAGCAGACATCGAGAATTGGATATGATTGATGATGATGATGATGATTATTATTATTATTATTATTATGGATCATCGCACAGTCAGCCAGATGTTCAGACTGGATTTGGCATTTTGTCTACCTATCGAGTCCTTATCCAGGACTTGGGATAGGCAGATGTGGATGTTTGATGGTATTACAGGTATCGTCGCAGGATGGAAGCAGTTCCTAATAAGGCCGCCTTTTGCAATTGACTAATAGCGAATTTGTCAATGCCAATGGTGTTCAAGTGGTGCTCCAGTTGTTTTGGGATTGCACCCAAGGAGCCTATGACTATTGGTAGTACCCTTGCTTGCTTTTGCCACAGTCTTTCTATTTCTATTTGTAGGTCTTTGTATTTTGTTATCTTCTCCAGTTCTTTCTCTTCTATTCTGCTATCTCCAGGCACTGCCACGTCCACTATCCAGACTTTTTTGTCATTATTATTATTATTATTATTATTATTATTATTATTATTATTATTATTATTATTATAAAAAAGGTGAGGGAGGCAGGGAGCCCACATCGATTTGGGGGCCAAAACTCTGAGGGGGTAAAGAAGACGTCAGCCAGGATTTTTCTCTTCCCAAATTCCCTTAGATGCACCTTTCAGAACTCTGAGGAATGTGTTTAGTTAGTTTAGCTTTCAAGGTTTTGTGCAAATTCAGTAATAAGTTGATTCGGTTCCCAAAATTAAGCATGCTATGGAAAACCCCAACGTCAATATTTTCCCCTAGAAACTTTGACAAAAAAGGGCACAGGTCTTCGAGAGAGATCTTGCTGGCCAACTTTGAAGATCTATAATGGTGGTAGGGGAAAAAATCTCTCTGCTGCCAGCATTGATTCAAAAGATCTATAGGCTGGGTCCTTCCTTCCTTCCTTCCTTTCCTTCCTTCCTTCCTTCCTCCCTCCCTCCCTCCCTCCCTCCCTCCCTCCTTACTCTCCTTCTTTCTTTCTTTCTTCCTTCCTCTTTCTTTCTTTCTTTTCTTTCTTTCCTTCCTTCTTTCCTCCCTCCCTCCTTACTCTCCTTTTCCCCTCCTTTCCTTCTTTTCTTTCTTTCTTCTTCCTTTCTCTTTCTCCTTTCCTCCCTCCCTCCCTCCCTCCCGTCTTTCCTTGTCTCCTTTCTTCCTTACCTCTTTCTTCCTTTCTGTCAGAAAAAAGAAACTAAAAACTAAAAACAGTTTAATAAGTGACTTAATATACAGATAAATTCTGAGTACTTTCTTTGTAAGATAATTAGAACACTCCGGAAAATTTGGAGCAAGCGCTCTGCTCTAAAAGGGTTGTGGGGGGGGGGGAAGAAGTTTTAAGAGTGGGCTGCAAACAACTGATATTTAAAGCTGAGATTTATGAGTTTGTTTTTCAACATAGTCCGTACTTTTTTTTTTTCCCCCTCAGTGAAAAATACCTTAGCATCAAAATGCAACATCTCAGCAGATGCTTTAATAATAGAAATGGCCAGCAGTCAAAAGCCAGGAAAGAACTTTCAGTTAAAGAGTTTGCCTTGCAGTTTTGTGTTGCTGCTTAAGATCCAACTTTGCTGTTGTTTCCTTTCTCCTGATAAAATATTCATCCCTTTGCTCCCTTCCTGCACTTCCCTGGAATCTGTCCACTTGACAGAGAACTTCATTCCATCTACCTCCTCTTTCCTGTCCTTCCTTCCTTCCTTCCTTCCTTCCTTCCTTCCTTCCTTCCTTCCTTCCTTCCTTCCTTCCTTCCTTCCTTCTTTTTGCATGTCTAAAATGATTTATTGGGTGACAGTGTTCCTTGGGTTTATGGAAGGGGGAGGGGGAATGTTGACTTTTTAATCAGGTCATCATTTTATTCTCTACATATTTGCTGCAAACTAACAGTGGGTAATCTGCTCAACTTGAGGAACAAATGCAAGCATAAAAAATAATGCTTGAAAAAGTTATTTTAGTCCATTTGTCCTTCCTCCCTCCCTCCCTCCCATTGTTCCTCCCTCTGTCCCCTTCTCTTTCCTTCTCTCCTTCCTTCCTTCCCTTTCTTTCTTCTTTTTCTTTTCCTTCCTTCCTTCCTTTCTTATATTGAAGAGTTTAAGACCCTTTAGACCCGCAAGGTTTTACTGTATTCATCACATGTGTTTCTCCTTAAAAGATGATGGTGTAAATTTAACTTTAAAAGATTTTAAAATATTTTTTTTTTTTGGGTGGGGGGAAACTATGCACTAAAAAGGTGTTAGCATATGGATCATGGAAATAGTATATGGATCACGGAAATTTAACAATGGATTAAGGGCCAGAGGAATTGGGAATTATCATTTTAGTTATTTAGAAGATCTTCTTTCATGGGAAAATGGAGATTGATCTGGGTGTGTGTTTGTGTGTTTGTGTGTTTGTGTGTTTTATGATAAGGAGACCTTGAAGGCTGAACACTAGAGCCAGGAGTAAGGAATATGGAATGGAAATTCTTAGCGCAAACCTCTGGGAACTTCCCAGCCAAGCTTTTTGATAGAACGGATCAAATACTTGATAAAATTGGCAGATCGTGTTCTAATAAAGTTGTAAAACAAGAACACGCTGCAATGGTTGACAATGAAAGTAATTTGAAAGGGGATTTAAATGCAATACAAATGGATCTGATGGATGATTTATTCCCTAATGGAGACAAACATATTTGGATATTTTCTTTTTCTTAATGATGCAAAAAAAAAATCTGTTGAAGCATTGCCTTGAAAACACAGATGATCAGGAGAAATTTTACAATTTCCGCTGCTAAACAAGGCGGCATCCAATTTTATGTCTTTTTTTTTTTGCCATAGTTGTTAAGCAAATCACGGCTTTGAATCATGTGGTCGTTAAACAAATCCTGGGATGTTGCAATCATTGTAAATACATGCCGGTTTCCAAGCACCAGAATTTTGATCGTGTGTCTATGGGGTTGCTGTGACAGTCATAAGTATGAGGACCAATCACCAGTCACTTTTTGGGTGCCATTGTAATTTCAAATTATCACTAAGCGAATAGTTTGTAAGTCAAGGACTACCTGTAATACAAGAGGCAGCAGTGACACGCCACCTCTATATCGCTGTCCAGAAAACTACACTACCTCAGGATTGAGCTTGACTCAAAAGTTCATATTTTGAGTTCTGCATTAGTTTGAGCAGAAGATAGGTCAGATTTAACTTGGATTATGAGAAGTTCAGCTGCTAAAAAAAAACGTGATGAAGTTAGTTTCTAACACTGTATTTCATGTCACAGATTACTGCAGTAGCTATTTGGTTCAAAAGGCATCCTTCTTGAGTTTTGAAAGACTCAAGAGGTGGGAAACATTTAGCAGAACAGAATGACAGAGTCGGAAGGGACCTTGGAGGTCTTCTAGTCCAACCCCCTGCTCAAGCAGAAGACCCTATACAGTGGTGGGATTCAGCCGGTTCGCACACTTCGGCAGAACCGGTAGCTAATTTTTTGTTGCCCAGGCCCAGAATGGACTTCCGGAAGTGGCATCCACACAGAGAACGGGTTGTTCACCTATTTGAATCCCACCACTCCTTCCTTCCTTCCTTCCTTCCTTCCTTCCTTCCTTCCTTCCTTCCTTCCTTCCTTCCTTCCTTCCTTCTTTCCTTCCTGTGGTGGGATTCAGCCAGTTTGCACCACTTCAGCAGAACCGGTAGCTAATTTTTTGTTGCCCAAGCCCAGAATGGACTTCCAGAAGTGGCATCCACACAGAGAACCAGTTGTTCACGTATTTGAATCCCACCACTGACCCTATACCATTTCAGAATAACAGAATAACTGTCAATTTAATAGGAGACCCTATACTATTCCACAACAACAGAATAACAGAGCTGGAAGGGACCTTGGAGGTCTTCTAGTCCAGCCCCCAGCTCAAGCAGGAGAACCTATACCGTCTCAGACAAGTGACTGTCCAGTCTCTTCTTAAAAGCCTGCAGTGATGGAGCACCCACCACTTCTGAAGGCAAGACATTCCACTGCTTGATTGTTGGGTCTCTTTGCTAGAACTTTGCTGGAAATACAGCTCTGCCTTTTAAGAATTCAGCACACAAACATTTCACAGCAAGCAGCAAGAAGAATAAGGGAACGGCATTCCTTCCTTACTAGCACCTTCATTTACAAAACATATTTATCAAGTCTTTTCTAAGAATAATGCAGGAATATGGTTTGCCATCATTCTTGTTAATGGGATTGTCTTCGTGTTAGGGTAAACAGCCATAACTCTTGAGGTTTGAGCCACTATAATGCTTGTAGCATCTAATTATTGCTTTTTTAAAAGAAGAAGAATCAAGTCAATAAATAAATGTGCGTAGAGGTAGTCCTCAGCTTATGTCCACAATTGGAACTGGACATTTCAACATTAAACGTTGCTGACTTTTCTTCAGTAACATATTGAGTGCCATTCAACTTCTCAATTGCTTGACTAACCTCTATATGGGTCTGCCCATGAGAACTACTGAGAAGCTTCAACTGGTCCAACTGGTCCAGTTGAGCCCCAAGATCACCCAGCTGGCTTGTGCCTCTAAGGCAGGACTAGATGGTCTCTCAGCTCCTAACCTGGTGCCTTAACCACTGCACCAAAGTGCTCACTTCCATGTGCTGAAATACCCTGTATAATGAATGACTTTATGAGATCTGAGATATCTGTAATTCTTCCAGCACTGAAGATTTTACGTGCAAAATGCTTTTGGTTTACATTCATCGGAACAATTTCATTGGGTCTACGTGTCTAAAGGAGAGCACCTTATTCAGATTTTGTGAGTTAAGCAGGCACATGGAGGTGTAGTTCTTTTGATGGGTATTTCCCCAGATTTTGTCTCTTTTTTTTTTTTTTTTTGGAGCTCGGAAGAGTAAACCTTTGGCCCCAGTGAACAACCCAGATTGGATCCTGCAACATTATCCTGGGATAGGTAGATTTACCTTCATGCGTGAGAAGCCACCTTGTTGTGACAGGAGAATCTTGAAAGCAGTTCCAAAGTCTTCCGTGCTCCTTTTGAAGGACAAGAGAGACAGGATGGGCTGTTCTGAATTTCTTTCTCACGGTTCCAACAACCATTTTCTCTTCTCACTTCCCTTTCCAGGCCAGAGCTTTCTGGGTCTTTGTCTGACTTTTACTTTGGATGATTAGATAAAGAGGAGCTGGGAATCAGTAACCACTGTGATCGGTAAAGGGTGATCTTGTGCTGAAAAACCACAAATTCCTGGGTGAAAACTGCCGTAGGTTCTTTTTTTCTCCTGTTGAAAAAGGAGGTCGCGAGAAAGGAGAGAGGGAAAGGGGGGAAAAAAAGAAGAAAAAAAAGAATATTGAAAGAGTTTTAATTGTAGAATGATGCCGTTGCCTCCAGCAAGATTTCTGAATCTATTATAATTTTTTAGATCCCGGGAGATGAAAAGCTGGAAACTTTACCCTCCTAAGTAAAAGTCAATGAACCTCATGCCAGCCTGATATCCTGGAAGCCTTGCACTCAGCAATATTCCTTTAATTAAGGTGGTTGTAATATATTCGACTGGGGACCGTTCTTGAAACACAAGAGCGCTTGCTAGGTGTTGATGAAACCACTCACAGGTTTTTCTTATTTAAACATGAACCCCTCCTCCTACCCACCCACCCACCCATCCTCAGCCCCCTTTAGTTTTAGTCATTCTTCAGCATCTCCTTTGAAAATTGTTTTCTGTTGACATCTATCCTTTAGTTTCCTTTCCTCTTGCTCCATTTGATTGGGTAACTAGTTATATCATTCAAGGTGCTCATGAAGAAGGTGGGGAAGGGAGGGAGGGAGGGAGGAAGGGAGGGAAGAAGGAAGGAAGGAAGGAAGGAAGGAAGGAAGGAAGGAAGGAAGAAAGACAAAGGAAGGAAGGAAGGAAGGAAGGAAGGAAGGAAGGAAGGAAGGAAGGAAGGAAGGAAGATGAAGGAAGGAGACAAAGGAAGGAAGAAAGGAAGGAAGGAAAAAGAAAGAAAGAAAGAAAGAAAGAAAGGAAGGAAGGAAGGAAGGAAGGAAGGAAGGAAGGAAGGAAGAAAGAAAGAAAGAAAGAAAGAAAGAAAGAAAGAAAGAAAGAAAGAAAGAAAGAAAGACAAAGGAAGGAAGGAAGGAAGGAAGGAAGGAAGGAAGGAAGGAAGGAAGGAAGGAAGGAAGATGAAGGAAGGAGACAAAGGAAGGAAGAAAGGAAGGAAGGAAAAAGAAAGAAAGAAAGAAAGAAAGAAAGAAAGAAAGAAAGAAAGAAAGAAAGGAAGGAAGGAAGGAAGGAAGAGACAAAGGAAGGAAGGAAGGAAGGAAGGAAGGAAGGAAGGAAGGAAGGAAGGAAGGAAGGGAAGATGAAAGAAGGAAGATGGAAGGAGATGAAGGAAGGAGAAAGAAAGAAAGAAAGAAAGAAAGAAAGAAAGAAAGAAAGAAAGAAAGAAAGAAAGAAAGAAAGAAAGAAAGAGAGGGATGGAAGGAGCGTGGAAGAAAGGAAATCTGTGAAATAAGTAAACATTTTAATTTAACATAAAACCATTTCACAATTTTAGGTGATCCAAATCTTTCTTAATTTAGTTTAAGTATTTCATTGGCAACAAGCTGATCTATACTCTTATTACCCTTAAGTAGCCATGACTCCCTCCCCTCAAGAAAAGATTTATCTGTTATTTTCACATTTGAGCCATCATGCAAATTAGGGTCAAAATAATACTTCCATCATAGCAATAAATTTAATAAAGCTGTACAGTAGTTAAAATATAGCAAAATCTCTGCCAAGGAGTTAATAAATTAAGAAATAATAAAATAATAATTGTGCCCATAATGGTTATATGACTTTTGCAAACCTTAAGAAACTGAAATAAAAAAATATGCCACTGATAAAGGTAAAAATAAAGAAAATTAAAAGCTCCATCCTTATATGATACATCTTTGGAATAATATATATATATATATATATATATATATATATATATATATTACATATATATGTTTTCTGAGGTTTTCGCGGGTGTCTGTATGTAGGTCTTTGGTTATTCGGATTTTCTCCCGCGTAAAATTGGTGACGTTTCGATGAAGTCCCATTTGTCATCTTCAGGCTGGTGTTTTTGGCTTCATGCTTCTAGGAGCTTCGTGCTTCTAGGAGCTCCTAGAAGCAAGAAGCCGAAAACACCAGCCTGAAGATGATGAATGGGTCTTCGTCGAAACATCGCCAAGACACTTCCAATTTTACGCAGGAAAAAACCTGAATAACCAAAGACCTACACACACACACACACACACACACACACACACACACATATTCTGCTTGGAATAATTCACAAGTATGAGCAGAGGAAAATCTCTAAGCAGATATATCAGTTTTGAAGTGGAAAGAAGTCATTTTATGACTTTCATCTCTCTGAATAAACTCAGGTAGATTTTTACCTACTTATATCAATTTTGATCTGAGATTTTTTTTTCACTTTACATATTTTACACACATATATTTTAGAAGCGCAAAAAAAGGACCCTCAATATGTCAATTGGAAGGCCATCTAGACTGGAGTTTTTCCTGTCTTCACAATGTTAATTGTGTCTCCTAGTTTTGGGAGTTGGAAAGCATTGGTAAACAGGCAGCTTGGTCATGCTAAAAATTAAGAAGATATACTATATACAGGTAGTCCTTGACTTACGATCACAATAGATTGCATTGTAAGGATTGCTTGTAGGGGGGAGATGCTTCCAATGTAATCTACTGGATCCCCTATATGGTTTGCCGATGTGACTATATAGGGCAGATGGAGAGGAAGCTAAGCACCAGATTGCAAGAACACAAGAAAGAAGTCAGACAAGGAGATCCAAACTCACACTGCAATGAACAAGGACACCCATTCAATTTTGCAGCTACCAAGATTGTTGGACGAGCAGGCACAAAAACAGCCAGGGAAATGATTGAAGCCTGGGAAACAGTCCCTTGTCCATCAACAAGAGTGCTGATTTCCATCTGGGTCTAATGGAAAGAGAACTGGAAAAAAAAATTGGAACTCTGATTTTATATATGGTGACAACAGCAAGATTGCTCTAGGCACAAATGTGGAAGGATGCCTCGACTCCCACCACGGACAAAGGGTTACAAAAGCTGATGGAATGAGCAGATATAAAAGAAAAGAACACAAGTACTTTTGTTTCTACTTGGAAACCGCTTCTGGACTTTGTGCTTGAGGTGGCGGAAAAAATGATATCATGATTTTGGGTTTTACCGATTAGACTGATTTGCCGATACAGAAATGGCTAGTGCATGCGACTACAGAAATGTAAAAAGTTGAGATTTGATTTTAATGTCTGATTTTACTGCAACAGAGCGAGTCAGAAATAAATGCCTTTTGTTTCTTCCCCTCCCTTTCTTCACACCTTTTTTGTTTTCCCTTTTTCTACTCTTGTCCCTTACTATTTGCTTTTGTATTAATAATAATAATAATAATGAGGAGGAGGAGGAGAAGAAGAAGAAGAGAAGAAGAAGAAGAAGAAGAAGAAGAAGAAGAAGAAGAAGAAGAAGAAGAAGAAGAAGAAGAAGAAGAAGAAGAAGAAGAAGAAGAAGAAGAAGAAGAAGAAGAAGAAGAAGAAGAAGAAGTAGTAGTAGTAGTAAACAGGAGCATTGATTTATCACCAGCCTATCAAGTACTTAGAAGGCAAGGGCTGGGCAGCACAAGCAAACGTCAGCCAACCACTTAAAAGCCAGCCATCAACAAGCCCCAATCAACATCTAAAAAGCCACATACAATAGGCACTATAAATACCACACAGGGTACATACTCTGCTAGGGAGAAGTTCCCCAAGGATGGGCTCCAGCATGAATCCAAAAGCTCAGAAAACTAAACCTTTGGTCCTGGTGAGCCAGAAACAAACATATTTTACCCACAATATTGTTTTCTAGTACTACTAAATTTCTTTCAGCTGAGAGGCAAATAATCTATCAGGGTTTTATCTCTCTCAAATATCTTTGCTCTGTATGATCCAATTATTATTCTCTTTCAAATGCATAAAGGGAAGTAAGTCTCTGTTGGATACACATAAAAGTGTTGCATAATTCTGGGATAGGTCATCTTGCTTAGATGCTCCAAGTTTCTTAACTTTTCTTTGGAATTTATTGTTTATTTATTGTATGTTTATTTTCCCATGAAGTTTTCCCAATATGTATGCCTTATAGAGATTCCAAGCAACCTATACATTTGAAGAACGTCTAGTTATACATCAAAAGTTCTTCCAACTGCTGTTGCATTGGATTATCTTTTAAAGTGAATCCTTTAAATAAAACATATTTAAATACCATCTAGACCCGTGGTGGCAAACCTATGGCACACACCCTCTCTGTGGACACGCGCGCTGTCACCCCAGTTCTAGGCCTTCAGCTGGGTTTTACAAAACCTTTTTACTTTAGGCCTCCACCGCCGTGTGCAAAAAAGAGAAAAAGATTCAATCAATCAATCAATTTCAACTTCTTGAAGGAAAAAAAAAGATCTTGCAAAGTTGGAATTGATTGATTGAACTTTTTAGTCCCACCTAGTCTGCCGTTACCACCACAGCCACGCCCACCCAATGGGCCACACCCGCTTGGCACCCAATGATACATAAGTGGGTTTTGAGTTACAGTTTGGGCGCTTGGTCACCAAAAGGTGCTCCATCACTGATCTAGGGGGGAAAAGCTTGCATGGCTATTTCCATGCATGTGATAATAGTGGGGTACAATCTAATATACATATAGTATTAATATGTCTGTAGAGATTCTCATCATTCAGGTCACGGTTGTCCCAAAGATGCTTTTTCAAAAGGCAACTGGACTTTGTTTTTCCTTGAAGACATTTGGTTTCTCATCTAAGAAGCTTCTTCAGTTCTGACTGAATGGTGGAGAATGGAAATATTTATATTCCTTGCAGTCTTCCAGTTGTTAGTACTCTTTCTGAGGGTCACTGAGGCCACTTGGAGTTTTATCTGTGCCCTCAGGGTCACCTGAACAATGCAAATGGGTGTGGAGCCTTCTTGGAACTGCTGAAAGGATTGTGTTGTAGACTGGAGACAGGTATCCCTCCCCCCTCAGTGGTGTGTGTGTGTGTTCAATTTTAATGTAGATGGCCTCTTTGGCCCTTCTTTCAAGCCAGCAGTCCTCTCTGTCCAGAATATGTATTTTGCTTAGATCAACCCCGACTGCTCTTTAGAAAGCAAGATCCTCAAGTGGAAACTCAAGTACTTTGGCCACCTAATGAGAAGGAAGGACTCACTAGAGAAGAGCCTAATGCTGGGAAAGATGGAGGGCAAGAGAAGAAGGGGACGACAGAGAATGGGGTGGCTGGATGGAGTCACTGAAGCAGTAGGCATGAGCTTAAAGGGACTCCAAAAGATGGCAGAGGACAGGAAAGCCTGGAGGAACATTGTCCATGGGGTCACAATGGGTCGGACACAACTTCACAACTAACAACAACAATTACTACTATACAGTATGCAGTATATAGTATAATATTAATACACTCTCTACTGTGGATCAAGGTATCAGAACAATAATCTAAGCCAAAGCAATGCCTTAAAAATGGCCACAAACTGTTTGCTTGTTTTTAATGCACTAGAACAGATAGAGGGGTTGTGAATATAGTATTAAGAAGAAACTGTACAAGGGAAGAAAATAGGCAATTATGTTTTACACTGAGTGAAATTGGATATGGTTCTTTTCTTTGTATTCTCTTGCTCCCCTCTCTTTTTTTTTTTCTCCTTAGTCTATCTTCCCATCTGCCCTTTACTAAATGGCACAGTTCACTAAGATGCATAGGTTGGTGTTGAATTGCGGGCAATGCTCAGACCTTAACGACAGAATCTGCTCCTCGGATTCCTCCAGGAATTATTTCCAAAAGGGCAACTGAACCAAACATGGTATTTAAGTTCCCATTCCCACTGAAGCAAAACAAACTCAGAAGTAAACATAATCATCATGCAAAGTGACCTGCAGCTATCTCTGACTCATTTAATGAAAGCTCTCGTTTGCAGAGCCTGACAGTGTGGCTGTAAAGTAGTTGATACACTCATGCAGGTTTGGCCCTTCCGTTGGGCAGAATGAGGCAGTATCTTGAGAATATTGGTAGTTCAGGGTTGAACTGTGTAGGTCTCTGAGCTTCGTGGTCTTCTGATGGTGCTTTTTCACTCTAGGTTTAGAACATCGAACATCGAATAATAAGGTTAGAAGGATCTGGGAGATCTTCTGGTCCAAATTCTTGCTTGGGCAGGAGACCCTACACCATTTCAGGCAAAGAGCTATCCAGTCTCTTCTTAAAAGCCTCCAGGGATGGAGCCCTTACAACTTCTGAAGGCAAGTCATTCCACTGATTAATTGTTCTCACCATTAGGAAATTTCTTCTTAGTTCTAGGTTGGTTCTCTCCTTGATTAGTTTCCATCCATTGTTTCTTGTCTTGTCTTCTGGTTCTTTGAAAAATAGGTTGACTCTCCTCTTTGTGGCAGCCCATCAAATATTGGAAGACTGCTATCAGGTCTCCCCTAGTCTTTCTTTTCAAGACTAGACATACCCAATTCTTGCAGCTGTTCTTCATATGCTTTAGTCTCCAGTCCCTAGTTTGGTCATGAAACGTCTGCAAGTAAACAATCAAGCTTGGAGAGCACCAAAGACCTCCAAACCTCTAGAGTCAAATGTTGGAAGGAAATGTTCTTTCAAAGATCTCCCCCTAGCCAACTAAGATGATCTGGCATCCCCAATCAAAAGTTCCACAATTTGGAAATTGTTGGTTGGAAACTGAACAAAGAGAGAAGCAACCTGGAATTAAGGAGAAAGTTCCTAACAGTGATGACAATTAACCAGTGGAACAGGTTGCTGTAAAAAGTCGTAGGTGCTTCATCACTGGAGGTTTTTGAGAAGAAACTGTTTTCCTGCTTGAGCGGGGGATGGGTGGACTAGAAGACCTCCAAGGTCCCTTCCAGCTCTGTTCTATTTTAAATAATTTTTTAATATTTGAAAGCAATGTCTTTTGCTCAGCCAGCAAAACATCCTGAATCAAGAACATCAGTGTCAAGCTTCCATTCCCCCCACCCCATATTTCCCCATCAATGGAAGTGCAGATAATTTCCTTCATAAGAAAGCGGGGATTTGAGTGAAGTTCCTATAGATAAAATAGTTAGCTTTGCATTGATTTTTGTAAAGTAACCAGGAGACACCTTTGCTTCTACTGTCCTATCTTCACTAGCTTCAATGAACCACAAGGGAGAAAACAGAGTAGAACTCTTCCTTAGAGGATCCATTCAGTTATAGAGATCTTGGACATTAAGAGGGGGATCTTGTCCTTGAGAAATAATCAAAACTTTCTCTTTACCCTAATGACATTATGAATTATCCTTTATGTTTCTGATCACAAGTATGATGGAGAATTTCCAAAGGAGAGGTGATTGGAAAAATACTGGAATGTGCAGAAATGAATAGACTAACAATGACAATTAAAGACAGAGTCAGACTACTATGAAATCTGGGGAACTTTTTATGATTGGCTGAAAAGAGAATACGGTTAAAAGATAGTTAACGTCAATTTAGATGGAAGAAGAAGGAGCAGATAAGGAGGGAGACCCAGGCGACACAGTATTGAATAACTGGAGGTTGTATAAATATTTATAGAAGTATACACCGAGAAGGTTAGATAAATAGAAGTATTTATGTAAGAGAAAATTAATCTTATTGTATATAATACAGATAGGGAAATTTGGAGAGAGGAGTTGCTCAGACATTACCCCTGAATTGTATCTGAAGAGGGATGAGAGGGAAGAAAGAGAGGAGAGAGAAAAGAGTAAAGGAGGGGAGAAGGAAGCAGGAAGATTGGAGGAGAAGAGGAGAAGTGGGGAGAAAGGTGAGGAGAGTGGTGAAGGAAAGAGAAGAGGAGAGGAAGAAGAGGGAAGTAGGGAAGAGAAGAAACGGAGAAAGAAAGTAGAAAAGAAGGAGTGTGGATACAGTGAAAGGGGAAATGGGTGAGCAATACCAAAAGTCATGTGTGTGTATTTATTTCATTTTATTAAAAGTATCTTATATACGAATGTAAAAAGAATGTTTGTTAACATCTGATAAATATCACGGTATATGTATGGGGGAGAGTTTGGAAAAATAAAAAATAAAAAATTATATATATAAAAAAAAGAAATGTCTTCAGACAACCCTGGCTCCTTCAAGTAAGAAACGGAAATGGGCACCACCTCCTAGATCAGTGGTTCTCAACCTTTTTAATGCAGTGACCCCCAACTGGTTGTAAGTCGAGGATTACTCAACCGGTTGTAAGTCGAGGACTACTCAACTGGTGCAGCATCGTTTGCAGAATGGGGCTTTTAGCGGGCTCAGCAGGGCAGAGACAGCCTGGACAATTCCTATTGGCTTTTGAAAGCCAAGAGAATTAGACTCTATTCAAGAGAGTCTATTCTATTGGCTTTCAAAAGCCAATAGAATAAAAGGGAGTAGCACAGCTAAGGAAAAGGGGAAAAAAATGGCGGACTGCGTTCTTTGGCGACCCCCGTGAAATGGTCGTTCGACCCCAAATGGGGTCCTGACCACAGGTTGAGAACCACTGTCCTAGATTGAGACGTAATTGGACAGGGGAGACCTTTACCTTTATCTTTAAAGAGAAGTCCTCTTCTCACACTTGACAGATGCAGTTTGGTACAGTGGCCAAGTTACTGGATGCGACATGGATTCCTGGGTTCAGGTTCCCACTTGATAGTAGAACACTGTGAGTCACGCTCTTTCTCAGCTCAGGCTACCTCCTCAAGGTGTCGTTCTGAGAACAAAAAGAGAGGAGAATCCTTCAGCAAAGCATTTTGAAATCACATTATAACTAAGATTAGGGATTATATGTGATTCCTTGCCTTCAAATCTCCACATGGAGAAAGTCCATTACTGCTATCTAGAGAAGCTTCAAATGTCCATCATCACAAGAGCATGATGCAATTGTCATAGGCATTCAGGATCTTTTTGTTTGGATTGTAAGTCTAAGGGCAAAAGAGGGATCTCGGAGTCCTAGTGGACAATCCCTTAAATAGGAGCCAGCCATGTGCTGCAGCTGCCAAAAAAGCCAACACAGTGCTAGGCTGCATTAACAGAGGGATAAAATCAGATCACATGAAGTATTAATACCACTTTACAAGGCCTTGGTAATATTGCATCCTGATTTGGTCACCACAATGGAAAAAAGATGTTACATCTTTATAACATAATATAAAAAAAGAGTGCAGAGAAGAGCAACAAAGATGCTTAGGGGATGGAGGAAAAAACACACTATGAACCATCGCCGGAACTGGTATGTCTAATTTAGCAAAGAGAAAGGCTAGAGGTGAATTGATAGCAATCTTCCAGTATCTGAGGGGCTGCCACAAAGAAGAGGGGGTTGACGTATTCTCCAAAGCACCTGAGGGCAGGAGAAGAAATTATGGTTGGAAGCTTTCCAGAAATCCAACTTAGAACCCAGGAGAAAATGTTTTGACAATGAGAAAAAATTAATCAGCCTTGCCTCCAGAAGTTATGGATACTCCACCATGGGAGGTTTTTCAGAAGAGATTTTGTCTGGAATGATATAAGCTCTCCTGCTTGAGCAAGAGGTTGGACTAGAACACCTCCAACGTCCCTTCCAACTCTGATGATGTTCTATTTTCTGTGATTTAGGACAGAGGTTCACCGACTGAGTCCCAGGGCCAACTTGATTCTCCAAAATCCAGAGAGTTCCAAATATTATTACCAAAACACAATTTTTAAAGCGGCAGAAAGGAAAATGATTAAATATATTTTAGAAGAGTAATTGATTAACTAAATTTAACCAGAAGCCAAGGATGAAATGAACTCAAAAAGAGCATTTAGTACTGATTTTTATCTTCTGCTCTTTGGATTTTGCTTCTCCCTCTCTCTACCCTTCAACCTTCTCCCTTCCGACTCTGTTATGCTGTTACTGTCTTTCCAGATTTTGTCTTCTTCTGACAGTTTCACTGGAGCTTTGAGAACTGAGACCACAGCTATGCAAAACAAGTGTCACAAATGATATTGCTCTTTTTTTCCTAGGGCACCTGATTGCAGACAGAGACTCTGGAATGCTCGTAAATGTGTTGGCTTCACCTTTCAACAGGACACAAAACAATTTAAAGGAAGATATGAGAAAGTTCCCTGAGGTCCTCAAGCTCATATCAGTTAATAGATTGATTTTGGTCAGAGGAACCGATCTTATTATACAGGCTCACTGAAAGTCTCTCTCTCTCTCTCTCTCTCTCTCTCTCTCTCTCTCTCTCTCTCTCTCTCTCTCTCTCTCTCTCTCTCTCTCTCTCTCTCTGATTGTATGTCTGTGTGTGTGTTGCAAAGTTTGCTGATTCAGCTCCTCCACAGACAAATAAATATAGCACTTTCTCAGCCCTTCTCATAAATCTGCACTGGATGACAGATATTCAGGGTTTTTTTTAATCTCTCCCCCATCATTTTTAAATTGCGCAGGCAAGTTACTGCGGATGTCTTTAGACCTCCAGCTACATGGCAGAGATTGGCATTGCTAAACTCAGGGACTGGCCCAGATGTTTTTAGGTAATGCAAATTATTGGCAATTCAGATTTTCTTTTTTCTTGTAGACTGCATGGACGATGAGAATAATGGTAGAACAGATTATTTGTCTCCTGGACAAGCTGTTTTGAAGAGAAATGCAGGGTAGAATATATACCTGCTTTTGTTTCAAGATAAGAGTTGAGGCCTCATTTGGATCCAGAATCTAACCAGGGTCGAGCTTATGTATTATATGATCGGATACCTCCTGCAAATCTCAAGTCTTTACATTAGACTGAGAAGTAAAAAAGAATCCTTGGAGAATTGTGGGTGCTCCATCACTGGAGATTTTTAAGTAGACATTGTATAGGATAGGATCTCCTGCTTGAGCAGGCAGTTGGACTAGAAGACCTCTAAGGTCCCTTCTGAGTCTACGATTCTGTTATTCTGCAGCATAAAAATTCTAGAGTTAGAAGGAACCTTGGAAGTGTTCTAATTCAATCCCTTGCCTCTCATGACTCAGGCCCAGACTCTGACTCTGAAGAAAATGGGGGGGAAAAAATGCAAAGAAGAGCAACTAAGATGATTAAAGGCATGGAGACTAAAACATATGAACAACGGTTGCAGGATTTGGGAATGGCCAGTCTAGAGAAAAGAAGGACAAGGGGTGAGATGATAGCAGTGTTTCCAATATTTGAAGAGCTATCATAAAGAAGAGGGGGTCAACCTATTTTCCAAAGCACCAGAAGGCAAGAAAAGAAAGAATAGATGGAAACTAATCAAGGAGAGAAGCAATCTAGAAATAAGGAGAAACTTCCTAACAGGGAGGACAATTAACCAGTGGAATAGCTTGCCTTTAGAAATTGTGCTCCCTCACTGGATGTTTTTAAGAAGAGATTGGACAACCATTTGTCTGAAATGGTATAGGGTTTCCTGCTTGAGCAGGGAGCTGCACTAGAATACCTCCAAGATCCCTTCCAGCTCTATTCTGATTCTGATTCTGCTTCAGCTGAATCCATGGAATGTCAGTCTCATAAGACACCAGGAATCATATGAGATTGATCAAAGACAGGCACCATCAGAACAATTGAAGCAATCGAATAAGGAAGAGGTAAGAAGAGAAAGAAAATCAAAATAAAAACAATCCATGAGGGTCCTTACCATGCAAGAGAGCAGATCTCCTGATAAGCAAGAGTTGGCTGCAACTTAATTTAAGAGGGAACCCTGTCCCATGTTCTTTTGCAGGAAGCAACCTGTGATCTCTGACTCTTACATGTTCTTCATGTGAATTCTGCCTGTAAAATTCTGACCTCTGGACTGGGCAACAGCCTTGATCTGGCTCCTGGAACTCCGGATTGCATTTGGACTATTGTTCTGTGTGCGCCTATTAAAAGCAAACTCTATTCTATGTTGATTTGCATGCTTTCACTGTTGTTGTTTCTTTGAACTTGAGTAAACTATGAACTACCGTAGCAACTGCATGAATCAGTATTTGAAACTAGAAGCAGGAATCCCCATACTATGTTTGACCAATGGCTCTTCAACTGTAGGAGATGACCAGGCTGAACGTGAAGGAGGGGTCAAGCATGTCATCAGTTTGGATTCCCTTTGCACACAGGAGATCTAAGTCCAGCTGACCTTGAATACTATTGACTCTTATCTACCACCAATTCGTTTTGACTGTTAGTAGTTCAGATTCTTATAGACAGGTAGCATGGAATAAACTTGTATTCATTTGAACAATCCTGGTTCCTGACTTCTTGGGTCCGACACTAACCTTGGCTCAAACTCCTCCAGTAATGGAGCCCTTCTGACTCCAGGAGACAGGCTGCTCCACAGCTTCATAACTCTGATAATCAAGAATCCCCTCCTTGCTTTTCATTCGTATTTCTCCTATCCTTGACAGTTATGGAGAATAAACTCATTCCTTCTTCCCTGAGTCAGCATTCGAGTATTGGAAAAAGCATTTCTGTGTTGTCACTAAGAAATTGCTGGGGAATGAAGGATAGTATCTTGAAGGCACACTTTCTTTTCCTCCTTTTTAACTAGCTTTCCAGTAATTGCAGGGGAATCATAGAACTGTAGAAATGTAATATTGGGAGGAACCGTGAAAATCATCTGGTCACAAAAAAGGGAAAAAAATGGATCCAGGAAATTACAGACCTATCAGCCTGACCTCAATACCTGGGAAGATTCTAAAAAAGATAAACAATGAATTCAGCGAACACCTACAGGCAAACCAAGTCATTACTAAAAGCCAACATGGGTTTGTCAAAAACAAATCATGCTAGATAAACCTTATTGCATTCTTTGACCAAGTGACAAAATTAGTGGACCAGAGGAATGCTGTGGATATAATTTATTTGGACTTCAGTAAGGCATTTGACAAAGTGGATCACAACCTACTATTTGATAAGATAGAAAAATGCGGGTTAGACAGCATCACCACCAGATGGATCTGTAGCTGGCTGACCAGCCGTACTCAGCATATGGTCCTCAATGGAACCACATCTACATGGAGGGAAGTGTGTAGTGGGGTGCCCCAGGGCTCTGTTCTGGGCCCAGTGCTCTTCAACATCTTCATCAATGACCTGGACGAGGGGATAGATGGGGAACTCACCAAATTTGCAGACGACACCAAGCTGGCAGGAATAGTCAACATTCCAGAAGACAGGCTTAGGATTTAGGAGTATCTGGACAGATTTGAACACTGGGCACTATCTAACAAAATGAAATTCAATGATGAAAAAAGTAGGGTTCTACATTTAGGCAAGAAAACCCAAACGCACAGCTATAGTATAGGGGGTACCTTGCTCAATAGTAGTAACTGTGAGAGGGACCTCGGAGTCCTAGTGAACAATCACTTAAATATGAGCCAGCAGTGTGCTGCAGCTGCCAAAAAGGCCAACATAGTGCTGGGCTGCATTAACAGAGGGATAGAATCAAGATCATGTGAAGTATTAATACCACTTTACAGTGCCTTGGTAAGGCCACACTTGGAATACTGCATCCAGTTTTGGTCACCAAGATGTAAAAAAGATGCTGAGACTCTAGAAAAAGTAAAGAAAAGAGCAACAAAGATCATCAGGGGGCTGGAGGCTAAAGCATATAAAGAATGGCTGCTGGAATTGGGTATGTCTAGTTTAATGAAGAGAAGGACGAGGGGGGACATGATAGCAGTCTTCCAATATCTCAGGGGCTGCCACAAAGAAGAGGGAGCCAAGCTATTCTCCAAAGCACCTGAAGGCAGGACAA